CTTGAAGAAACCCCCAGACTCGTATGTGCCTATTATTACTGTTTCCATGCATCTTCTTTAATCTGTTCTGATAATGAAAACTGCAGCGTCCCTGCACTTTGGTGCAATAACGTAGAGGATGTTAAACAATCAGCCCCTTTTTTTTTATTTGAGGGAGGTTGGCAGCTCGCAAATAAAAGTGTATGTGCATTGTTCTGTTACGGATGCAAGGCTTTGCAGTTCGCCTGGGGGGATGTGCTATCTTTCCCTCCCTGCCTAACACCTTTTACTTTGTCACGCGACAAAATAGTCTGATGACCTTGAGCTGGCACGGCCGGTACATGGAATGGTAAACAGATTTTTTTTTTTCATTTTGTTGTAAAATTTCTGTTAAAAAAGAGTGGATTTGAATGGAGATCTACACATCAGCGGATGAGGCGTTCCCCAGAGGAACTCTCTACTTGGTTATGTCATTTTCCTACATCACTCTTATTTTGTTAAGATAAACCTAGGACTTCCCTCCCCCAATTGATATCAACTCTGAATGTAGTAATTTTGTTTCACAAACGCCATTACTGTAATTCGATAAACATGTATGTCTGACTGTTGCATGACAGCTTAAACATGAAGGCGCCTGGGTTAAAAAGCTTCTGACATTTGATTTTACCATCTAAAGCCTACTTCGGCAATCAGATTGAATTTGGGAATGGCTGATGGCAGAGGGGTTGTGATGGGAGGGGCATGCATGGTCTGATTTATGGGAGGGCGCTTTATTCCCTCCGCCACTTTCTTCCACCAATGAAAAAGTAGCTTATGAAAAGTAAAGCAAAACACAAAAAGTGGAAAAAACAAAATGTTCGGGAAAAAAATTAATTAACAACACGTGGAACACTTCAAAAGATCTTCTTATTCCCTCTTTATTGTAGACACAATTTTAGTATACGCAGAGGAGTTTTAAATCGGCGGGAAAGCTGAATAACATTTAAAACCTGCCCCCACCCATCAAGATTTTGAATTGCAGCTAGTTTGAGTGCACTTGTTGTTTGATATATCCAGTTGTTAGTGATGTTTTGTACCCAATTTTCCCAGCCACATTCAGTTTAAATTAATCTTGTTGATAAAACATCTGGTGTAAAGATGAAGGGGAAAGATTGTGATCTTTGGCCTTTCTTTTTTATATTACCCATGGACAATTGAAGTAGCATTTTGGGGGCCTCCTGAGGCAGCCCCCAACCTGTTTATGACCTTATTAAATAATAAATATTATAAACATTCATTAAAATTGACAGCCATTTGGAGAAAAGAATTGTGAAAAATGAATCTCACCAATGTTGTTCATGATATAAGACTGACCACATGTGGGAATAATCATCATGCACCATACTCACTTCTTTGTAAAGATACCGTACAGATGGAACAGTGTACTCTTGAGAAACTGTAATCTTCAGATTGGAAAATGTAGTCTACATTGATGTTTGTTTTTTTAATTTAAATAAATAAAAAACCCATTAGTCATTTCGGGGGGGGGGGGAATAATATAAGAGTGGGGCAAAGGGGGTGTAGCCGGCCTTAGCATTGCTCCATTGTCAGTTGAATTTTATGCTGCCATTTCACACAACACCTGCAATATCCAGACGTGTCAATGCTTGTTGTCACTGATCATCAAATTACTCTCAGACTCAGTGAGCCCTTCCCTTTATTCCCTGTGTAGGCGCACCATGAGCTTTTGTCTTTCGCACCATTTGAGAAAGCTGGAGTGCAGCCGATGACAAGAAATTACGCGCTTTGAGCGGAGTGGACGAAGTGAAGTTATCGGGCATGAATAATTCAGACCCAGTGCAATTATGATTCATGTTTTATGTTTATCTTTTTAGACACAGAAGAGAGAAAAAAAGTGCATGGTAATGACAGACATTGAGGAATGCCAGCTTTAATTAATTTCAGCAGACTGATCCGCCATCATGAGAATAATGAATTTTACCTGTGGCTGTGAATGGAAAAACCTGTTTTTCTGCTTGTGTGCTCCTGTCACGAATGCGAGTGTGGAGATTAAAAAAAAAATTGGGTGGGGGAAACATAACGCATGAATATTTGATCGCGGCCCTTCAAAGTACATTGACACCTCCACTGCATCACCGGTGCCTCAATCAATACCAAGGCTGATGTACGCACTTACTGGAAAATGCGGGGGGGGAGATCGGGTGTCTGTCATGGCTGGTAGGCCATGCTCATTCATGGCCACAAATGGACCTCTCCCTCCCACTGCCCACAATAGCTCTCACCCATCGGCGCTGGTGGTGGTGTCATTCTTGTATGTCTTAACAAAAGAAGCTAACTGAAGGTAGCTATTGGTGTGATGCAGTGTTTTAAAAAAACTGGCCTTGGAAAGGTTGCATTGGCGAGAGTGCGTTGGCTCAGCTGGGGGAGAGGAGTTGCTGTAGGAAGTGTGAATTTGTAACATAGTGTCTCTTCTATCAGTTCCTGAAAGGCCTATTTTTTAACCTGACTTGTTCAGTGCTCATTTTTATCAATCCACAGTATATTTCACTTGTTTATTCCCCAATTTTTTTAAAAGCCACTGAGCTTATTTGGAAATCTCTGGCAATGTGGAAACTATTAATCACTGTAAACAAGAAACAGAACAAAGTTGCATGGGGAAATTAACTGTTTGTTCTTTAAATACATGCATTGAAGTTGGCAGTGTTTAATGAATTGTCCTTCAAATGTGTTTATACAGAATGGAAGGTGAAGTGTGTTTTGGCATTGTAGCCCCCCAAAAAGTCAAATTTTAGTGTTTCTAGTGGAAGTAATTTTTCAACCAAAAGTGATGTACAGGTTTTTTTTATGTTAACAACATGCAGCGAAGTACATCAATTAATTGAAATTCAAGTTCTTTTCGGAATTTGCTCTACCACATTCATCGTGGAAACTGAAAGAATGAGATATTAAAGACAAAGCATTAGTACCTCCGATGACAGAAATTGATCAATGTATGTGTACGTAACCTTGTTAATATAATGCAATAGTTGGACCATCTTTTTTCTTGTGCACTTTAAAAATTCAAGCTGTGATCACAAGCTTAAGTACATCTTTAAAACACTAGAGTCACCCCGATTCTAAATGTCATTTTGCACTGATTTTTGCTTCAAATTTTGCTCCAAAGATTAATATTCTTGCCAAGAAATGAGCCTCTCCACATGCACGCACCAATGTTAGGATATTCAAACGCACGCACACTCGCTCACATTCACAGTGTGCGTTAAGCAAACACCGCAAGTCTAAACTGACCCCAAACACACAATCATTTCAATTCCTAATTGATTCAGCGTGCCCGTATCATAAAAGCCTCTTTTGTGGAATGGAGAAAAAAATTGGGAGAAAATTAATCGCAATCATAACCGTTTTATTTGTTTGAGCACACTTTTTTCTTTTTTCGTTTTTTTTTTTGGGCTCGTGCTTGGGATCGTGTCTTTGCATTTGTTTCCGGAATGTGGAGGGTTGGTGTTTTGGATAATCGCTGTTGACAAATCTGCTAATGTTACCCTGAGGTCAAAAAGGCTTCTTTAGACGGTCCATTTCAGAAGGTGGCCACATGTGCAGGTTCTTTGGGACACTCCTTTTCTTCTAAATTTGAAAAATGGAGTTTTTTCCCCTACAAAAGGTATTTGTTGTCTCAAATGTTTCGTCTTTTTGGCTGCAGACAAGATAAGAAAGTTGATAATTCACCATTTACAGAAACAATTCATCTGCCATTTCAAGGAACCCTGTGAAAAGATCTGTCTCACTGAAGGCAAAAATCTGTGAGGCTTTATCTTTCTTCTGTCCTCAGACCTTCCCTGATATTCTCAAACAACCTATAGTTTTCTCAGAAGGGGGCTTTGTTGGTATCGAGGAAAAACATGTGCAAATAGCTCTGAGATTTACTTGAAATTTTGTAAGATTAGAACGGTCACTTTCGTTTTTTTTTTTTTTTGCAGATAAGCCCTGTCCCAGATGCCCATGCATTGTGTCCCTGTTAGTATAACTTGTCTCTCCTTTCAGCTAACATGATATTGCTAACAGGCTGTACATTGCCCCAGCCTGGCCCATCATTCATGAACATATCAAATCTCAACAATAATTACGTTGTCACGACCGTCTGATGTAAACCGATACCCAGACTGAGTTTATCCGGCAGTGACGTTTTTGGCCGTTCAAAGTTCCTGTGAAGAAGGGAACAGAATGTTAATGTTTGCTTGTTGAATGTAATTAGACTCATTGTATACATTTTCCACTGATGCTACATATATGTATACTATGAATAGGGAGCGTTTTATAGTCAGTTCATTGAAAGTGATTTGTGAAACCGACTTGTCATTTTTATGTCATGAGATATTTCATTCATTTGTTCACAATTTATTGGTTTCCTGATTGACTCCTTAATTGAGACCGTGGTTTATTGATTGATTTGCAATTGGGTCATTTTATTAATTTTGGGGTGCAATTTTTTTCTGTCCCAGTTACACCAGGCATGCATATGATTTCAAAGTTTAGAGAACATTCTTTATTTCCCATGATTGAGTAAGTAATGCCAATTACCTGCCAAAAAATACAAATAGTTTGAAATGAATTTCAGTGATACTGTACATCTCTTGTTGAATCACACATTTCAGGTGTAACAGGGACAGTAAAATGTCACATTTTGGACTCCAAATGTATAGAGTGAACCAATTATTATTTACTTACATGTTCTTTTCCTACTTGTACTTGCATGCTTGATCACCGGTTTGCTTGATTGATTGCTCAATTGCTCACTCTGAGTCTCTGGCTCACTTGATTGATCAATTGATCAAATGATTATTGATCATTCATTGATGTTGTTAATTTCAATGAAGTGAAGATATGACAATGATTAAATTGATTCATTTTTCATCTGACTGAGCTAATGATTAGATTTACTGGTACACCAATCTCCTCTGCGGTGGTAATTAGATGTTTTTCAGTTGATTGATTTGATTGATCATATTTTGTCTCCACTACAGCAACAAAGAAGACTTGACCTGTTGACCATCTCAGCACCAGGTATGTAGAACTGGCCATCATTTATTAAATTCACTTGACAAGAATGATATATCCTCTGCAGATACGGCATCATCAGAGCTCCAACAGTAATGGAAAATCCTGAAATATCCTGAGAAAAAATGTCCTGGAAAAATAATGGAAAATTGAGAGAGAAAAAAAAGGTTTTCTGGAATCCTGTTATCAGAGGGAAAAAACTCATGGATGTTAACATCCATGAGTTTATTTTTGGTGGACCACTCTTGGTGTGATAACAGAATCATAATAAATTTCCAGGCCAACTCGTCAATCTGTAGTACTGACTGTGGCAATCTTCCAATTCAAAATAACAACAACTTTTTCTCTGCATAATGGCATCAAATGTCATTGAAATTGTTATTTAGTTTTTACTCCCAGAATGTCCTGGAAAAGCCTTGAAATTTGGTTTTCCGATTCTGTGTGAATCCTATTAATCAAGTTGGCCTACATGTAGGCATATTTCCACTAGCTTTTCAGAACCATAGAAATCTTTATTTAAATCGGCAAGTAAACTTTTAAGGCTGAGTCCATTCAATTAATTGAATATTTGACCTTCCATTTAATTGAATTCTTGAACAATAAGATGTACCAAATTGTGACAAAGAAGAATTACATATGAACATTTTTACAAAAGGTAAAACAGACAAAAAATGAATTTGAAGGAGATATAATGTTTAGCATCATTGATGGTCATACTCATTTAAGTTTACTTGTAACACCTTAATTGAAATATGCTTTTAGAATGCAGTTTTGGAACAGACTAATTGAAGATTTTGCTCTTTTTTCTATTGATTTTCAACTCCAAATATTTAATTTTAAAATGAATAGTCAATTTGTCAACAATCCATTTGATATCTGAATAATCAGCACAACCCATAAACTTGATGAACAATTTTCTGTGCTTGGCATCTTTGTGAAATCTGGTGGGGGCAGTTACATGTACATGGTTTGCTGGAAAGTGTGGGGGAGACTGGTGAACAGGTGAAATGGGCTGAGCTAGTAGCAAGTCATATGCTTAATAATGGCGGATGCTCTGTTTTTGCTATTGGCAAGAGTCCAAGAATTTTGAAATGCTTCGCAGGTTCGTAGCTTCCACATGTAACTTTATCTCCCCATGAAAAATTTTCTTTGGACTTTTAGATGTTTGATTGAATCAGTAAAGTGAAAGTGGAAGAAGCTTGTCGTTTGAAGGTGTTTTTTTTTCAATCAAGGAGTTTGCCTCCTTTTAAACTGATGGAGGAGAATAGACAGACTCAATATGCTTATTTACGTGTGTGCCAATGTAGAAGGAGAAAAGGCATGGCTTTTAGGGTGTGGCAGATGAAGGTGTGTGGGGATGGCTTAGCAAGTTGCTAGACTTGTATCTAGTCCTTTCCTGTCTGAAGCACTGTTCCTCGTGTCTGTCACTCACTCCATCTACTGGTGTTGTGGTCAGCCAGCATTACTGATGAATTGACAGTCAAGGAGAATGCGCCAATCAGCACTGGCGGTGCCCGTTGAACAGGTGATGTTGATTGGCTGACACTCATCTCTGAGCCGACAGAGTTGTGTACAAGTAAATGAATCTTTGGGGAAGGTGAGAGAAAGAGAGAGTGGGGAAGGAGATTGAAAGGTAAAAAATGTGGAATTGTGAATGACTAATGGTCTCATTTCCTCAGTCGGCTTGTCACGCAGCCGGATTTAAATCCCTGGTCCTAGCAAGATGGGATAAGATGTGCACAGTAAGTTGTGTAGACAGAATCCGTGTGGGGACTACCTATGCACTATCACCGTGTACACAGAGACTGAACTATGTGAGTCTCCAGTTGACATAGTACTGAAGTTCTACCGTACAGAATGTCCCCTTCCTAAACTGAGTGTGCTCTCCAATTAAGCTCTGCCATAAATTGCCTCTTTTCAAGCTACTGTGTGCTGATAGGAAAAACCCTCAAATGTGATGAAATTCATTGCATACTTAGTGATATTTGCAATGAAAATTAATGAGTAGTTTGTCAGAGTTTGTTGATTCGTGTTGATTATTATTATTTCTTATTCTGAAACTCTTATGCAGTCAAAAGGTCTTTAGAAAGTTTTACCAATTGAACCTTTTAAAATTCCAAGTGTCCACCATCTCCACAAATTCTATTCTTTTTGGAAACATAATTGGCCCAAATAGGCAACCACAGTGAACCCATGCTGTGACATTGTCCTCATGTACTCCCAAGTCCCCTCTCCAAGTAGAGGGTAGCAATTATAGCAGTATATCCTGCTCAGGGACATACATGTGGATGCAGCATTGAGTGTTCTTCTCAGTCACAGCAAGCCCCTTTCCTAAAGCTCATGTACATGTACCTTTCTTTTGCACAGATTCACCACCGCCAATTCATCCTTCCTTTTGATGGAATGTCACTTTATACATATACATGTACTTGTAGGTTACCTCATTCAGAAGCTGCCAGTATCCACTGGTACATTCAGAGTCAAAGTCAGCGCAGTGCTGTATTCATTGTTTACCACAAACCACCACCCTCCCTCCCCCCCCCAAAAATCGCCAATGGGACTCACTCCAGGTTATATGACAGTACTTCCAGAGAAAACAAGGTGTGATTTCATACAGTACAAGGTTTAATCATAGCTGACACATTGCATGGTCAGTCTACCAGGCAAGGCATCCCTACACGGCAGTACTAAGCCCAATATTTGCTTAAAGCCTTGAATTGATGTATCTCTTTTCACGCTGAAAAAAAAAGGAACTTCAGCTTGGATCTAATCAGTCATATTTTGCCAGGAAAGAAGATCCAAATTGTCTGGTCTTCTCTCCCAGGATGACTGATGGTGCTTGTCAAAAAAGGTTGACTGAATCTGAGACTTTTTCTTTAGTGACTGATATGTTCAGAGAAATATCTCTCAGTTTTTTTGATAGACGGGCATGGCTGTCTAGATAACAGCAAACTGATGACACCTGGCCGTCCACTTTCGAATTAATGTCTTCTCTAAATGTTGAACAGAATTTGTCGACTGTCGGCTTTGCCATTCACCTGCATGTAATAACCTATCAATACATGCTGTATTTATGTGTAGTCCGGCAAACCACATCAAGTTTGTGCAAGTAACAGAAAGCCAAGTCATAAAAATGTGTTTGAACTGTCACCAAAATATTGATCTGCAAAGATAGTGTTGTAGGCCCACCTAAGTTGATCCACTGCAATGGAAGCCCTTCCCATCCACTGCGGCCCTACAAGTCTCTCCCTTTTGTATCTCAAAATGGGTCAATCTTATGACTTTTAAGAGAGGCATTTTAACTGAAGTTACTCAGCTAGATGTGAAACACTCCACGCTTTACCTGTATGCTCCCAGGTTTCAAGTTTACATGTGTGTAACTCAACTGGAGGTTTCTGCATGGAAGCTTTTCCTGTGAATTGTTTCTTAGTATCATTTGAGGAAACATAATTTAGTATATTTGGACATAACAGCTTCATTTACAGACTGTGTTGGCATGTCTACTCAGAGTACATCTTTTTGATAAAATCCATTAATTTGTATTCTTTTTTCCCCGTTTTTGAAAGCATTATGGAACTTGTACATGTACGTGTTTGCCACATGCGTAATTGTGCCACTCACACACTGATGTGTTAGGAAACTTTATTGCATAAATGGCTCTCACTCAGAATTTTATTGATAAAACCATCACTTAATAAACTGCCACCTTCAGATTATCCCAAATCAAAACATTTCTTAAATTTCACCCCCCTTCCATCTCTGAAAATCAATAGAGGGTCCCTGCTGCCTAGCCCACATAATTTACCGGAATTAAGCCGTCTCCCGCCATCGCCTTTTATAGACGTTGTTTCGCACACGTCTTATTTTGTATCTCCGTGCCTTGTGCGGCTAAGGTAGTGCAGAATCTCATGCATGTCTAACAGGCAGGCCACCACCTGTGACAGCCAGTTTCCACCTGACTGAACCAGTTTGAACCAGTCTGTGTCTGTTTGAAGGTCAAGGTGTCGGTATGAATTAGCTATCCAATCACGTAGGTAGGAGTCTGGCTGAGTTATGGTAGTTGCACCAATCAGGGAGATCCATCTTATTTTTGTGTGTGTGTTTAGGGGTTTCATTTATTTCATTGCCGGGGGGCTGAATTTGTTCCCAATTAAGTTGTGTGCTTGAACGGAAAAACAAAATAAGTGCTCCCAGTCATTAAAATAATCACTTTTGCACTTTTTTGTTGTTGATGGAGCCGTTTGAATGTTAGCTGAACATTGGTCTCGTGGGCTGACAATGTATCAGACCTTTAACAAAGCAGATCATTTTTGGAAATAACCTGATTAAAAAAAAATGTTTTGTATTCATGTTTTAGAAGAATTGACTTTGGATGAATTCATATTGAAATAGCTAAGAATTTTACAGACAGAATCATTTTCTTGTTTTCAAGAATCATTTTTCTTGATGGCCCATCTTCCCCCCTGTCAAGCAATTTCCCATCAGTGCTGTGGGGAAAAATGGACAGAAATTGCCCTGACAAGTTGCAGGAACAGTCTTGTTTACTCTGAGAGGTTTGAAGTGCTCCCCAAGGTCTACTGCATGTGCTCCGTGTCAAGGTTATGGGCTGTTTTACAAGGCAGGCCGGGGGCCCTGACAGTGCCGTTAAAAACATCTCCACTTAAGGCTACCTGGTTTTTGTCTCTCAGCCAAGCGTATTGTCCAATTTCCCTGGCGCCAGCCGTCCTGTGCGGCGGATCCATAAATAGATTTGAATTTGCTGCCCAAATCGCAGAAATCACGTAATCTCCCTGTGTACAACCCGCCCATCACCCCCCTACCTACGCTCACACATACTAGCCTGACATGGAAAGTGGTACCTCTCTCGGTTTTTTTGTGTGTGTCTCTCCCTACCCTTCCACTCTTTCCCCCTTCTATTTTTGTTAAAGCTGTTTATGCAAACTTGATTACAAGCGTGTGGTAATTCTGCAGCAGAATTACACGTTGTCCGCTGGCCGAACACGCTT